ATAATAATAATAATAATAATAATAATAATAATAATTTATTGATAACACGTTACATAAATTAAAGAATAATGTGTTCGTTTCAGTGCAAAGGTTACTAAAGTACAGCTCATTCATAGCTGCTGGTACTGCATTTTTTCCTCATTTCTCTCCTTCCTCCTCCCTATTGGCTGAAAACAACATGCCATCCAGCTGAGAGCTCCCTCATTGGCTGAACACTTAAAAAAAAGAAAGAAGGGTGCAGGAGTATGCAGCTGAATGGTGAGGAGAACTGGTTTCTGTGGTGTTACTTTAGGGCAAAGCACCTTAGGTGGTGTAAAACAGACGGGTTGATGCTGCGATGTGTTGTGTTGGATTTCAATTAWTGGAGAGAGGATGAAGGCTTGGATTTCAAAGGTGCTCTCTTTGGAAACAGGTGCACTGGTAACCAGGGGATCGTTTAGAGACTTGTGTTTGTAGAAAGCAACATTTAGATTTATAGAACAAAAACGCCTTGTGTGAGCAACAAAAAAAGACTTAGTGAGACTGACTGTCAATGGTTCTCTATAAGGGTCCAACAAATCTTCTGACTGTGAGGTTGTGAGTTTCTTACTGAAGAGAACGTGTGTAGCTAAGTTGTTGATAACTTGTCGTCTGAAGATCTCAGCAGGAAGCTCTCTTTCCATCTGCTCCTCTTCCTGTCCTTCAAACAACCGACCATCAGGCCTGAAAAAGAAACAAAGTTAAGATTCTATTATGGTCTGCACAATATGCCAGATTATTTTGCCAGGCATGATCCTCATTTATTTCTAAATAAGAGAGGTCAAATATGAAGCTTTTATTAAAATCAAGTAGAGTTTAAATATCCTTAATTTTTTTAAAATATATGCTAAAAAGAAAGATGATAAATGTTGCAAAACATAAAACCCATAARCACGTTTGTAGTTGAGAAAATGCATAGTGTGCACAAAAAATATAACAGTGAGACATCATAAAGACTACAATACTAAAAAAAAAAAATCAAAGTTATTGTTACCAGCAAACACGACTGACAGAAAAAAACAGATCAATGTCTTGAATATTAATAAGAGTAAACATATTCCAAAAACAGTTATAACACCATCTAATGATAGGGTTGTGTTTCATTTCCTTCTAGCATTTTAGTAAGTAAGTAAACTTTATTTATAAAGCACCTTTCACAGACAAACATCACAAAGTTCTTAACAGAGAGCAAAATAACTAAAAGCAATAAAAACAGGTCACAAATATAATAAAGAACAATAAAAACAGAAAACAAAACTTAATTAAAAGCCTGTCTGAATAAAAACGTCTTAAGATGTTTCTTAAAAGTCAGGAGAATCTGAGCAGCGAAGGGACAGAGGGAGAGTGTTCCAGAATGTCTGGACCACCAACTGAAAATCTTTGTCTCCTCAGGTTTTGTAACGGGTTCAAGGGACCACCAGCAGCATTTCATTTGAAGACCTCAAAGTCCTGGATGGACAGAGAGGTTTCAGAAGGTCCCATATGTATTTGGGAACCTGATCATGAAGTGTTCTAAATGTTAAAACCAAAATTTAAAAATGACTCCTGAAAGTCACAGAGAGTCAGTGCAGAGAGGCTAAAACAGGTGTAATGTGGGCTCTCCTGTTTGTTTTTGTTAAAAACCTCACTGCAGCGTTCTGCACAGACTGAAGCCAAGCAACAGAGGATTTGCTTAGACACTTAAAAAGGCTGTTACAGTAATCTGAACAAGAAGAAATAAAAGCGTGAACAACCACCTCTAGTTCCTTCTGTGACACAAACAATTTCAGCTTTGAGATATTCCTTAAATGATAAAAACAGTTACAGTTTGATTTTTTACCTGGATTACTGAGATGCATCAGGATAAAAACAGTTATGAACTAACGTTTTACAACGAGAGTCAAAAGACAAAGAACAGACAGATTTCTGAGACTATTTTTCACCGAAGGAGCTAAAAAAACAAGATACTGCCTGATTATATATACTACACTTATATACTTTTATTTATTTTTTAATGAACTTTTGTATCTTCTTTATTGTTTTATTTTTATGTATATATGGACATAAAGTCTGCCAATAACGTTTGATTGATTACAGGGATTCTATTTTGCCCCTTTTTTAAGATCAGTGCACGTACATATTACTGTGCCTCTTCTTGAATCTTTCTCCAGGCATTCTTGCTTCATTACACAATGAGGAGTAGTTATTTTTTCAGGACAGGGCACGCATTTAGATTTTTACAGAATGATTCATTATTTCAGTGCTCACAGGTTGTAAACCGGAAGTAGAAAAGTACCACATCCTGTTTCACAACTGTACCAGCTTGTTGCTCAGGCAGTAACCATCTACGTAAATTAAATGATTTGATAGAATTAAAGGAGACCAATTATGGGTCCTAGAAATGTTTATGGTATGTCTGTGGGCTATCCAGACCATGTTCATTCAATTTAATGCATTAAATAAATCTCAGAAAATAAAATTTCCCATTTTCTAGTTCTGCCTGCTCTGACTTCCGTTCAGAAGAGCTGTTTATGTTAATGAGCTCTGTTGGTAACGCCCTCCAAAAATCTGTTGACATTAACTCCGCCCTCCAAAGCCAGCGTTTACGTTAGCATGRCWAATAATAGCAGAAGCTCCGTTGTTCAACCATAGGAGAGACCCAGAGCCAGAGTCGTGGTCGCAGCTTCTTTTTTTTTTTCTCCTCCTCCACTGCTCTGCGCTCACTCTGCATGCTGTTACCAGAGCAGGGAGCAGCAGCGGTCAAAATACCTCAGAAACTCGAACAAATAGGCTTTAACAAGGCTTTAATAAGCTAAACAATGGAGGTACATGAGAAAATGTGTTCATGACGAACGAAAATAAATAATTAAATTGTGTCTCAAACCCTGGTCACCCATTCTCTGGTCCAACACTCTACCCATTGCTCTATTGGAGGCTTGTTGTGAAATGAGCTGCGTATTGCACAACAACAACTATGATGGCTTTTCATACTGAGGAGGTGGAGCCTCACCCGGGGGTTGCTAGGTAAGGGGCTGAACGCAGGTTCCGGTGGGTTGACGTACGGCTTGTGACATCAAAAAATGACGCAAGTATAAAACTTGTCATTAATATACATTAAAAATACATTTACTTACAGTAAATATGCCCCTGGGTGCATTTCTTTGGTCCTAGGACTGTTTTTTTAAGAAGTACATACCCGAAGTTGAGTAAAAAAATACCTTTAAAAAGTGAATTTTGCATAATAGGTCCCCTTTAAGACAAAAATCTAAACCATGTAATTTACTACTGCTGCATCTGGTTAGCACGGGCCTCTTATATGTTTGATTCATCCTGCCACTTTTGCATAATTAAGAGGAAACGTTACATTAAAAAATAAAGGTATATATTGTTTTAAAAATGCTATAATCTGCTCTGAGCACAAATCAGAGTTTGAGTTTATGTAACCACATTTCATTATGAAATTTATTCTCCTTTTTCTAAAGCTGCTTTTGTTCATTTTTGACTTGCTTCAGTAAAATATCACACTCAAGGAATGAAAAAAATAAATAAATAAATAAAATGAGGGATACGAGCGTTAACTTGTCTTTTCTTTACAAAGAAGTTCTGGTTTTTTTTTACCAACTCTTTTAGGACAGGGTCTGAATGTTTGACCTCAGCCTCTCTGCGAGAGACTGCAGCTGTTCCTTATGAACATATTCAACAACCGGCCTTAGTTTTATTAAAAAAACCAACAGCTCTGGACTGAAGTAACCTCTGCGAGTGGAAAGTTGAGGGCTGATATCAGATGTCAAACAACAGACACGTGCTGTGAGGCAGCAGGAAGAAGAAACCGAGTTTGGACATCAAAGTTGTTCCAACTAACGCTGAGGGACATCTGGTTTGTGCAAAAACACTGGACAGATGAAGACAACACRCATTGTGAGAATGGAAAGTGTGTGTTTGTGTGAGCACTCACTGTGCAGAAATAATGATGGGCAGCAAGGCGTTTTCCAGAGACACTGGCGGCGGAATGTGACGACTTCTTTGACTGTCCAAGTACTCCTGCACACGACACGAAAATGTCACTTTGAGCTCGCCACGRATTTTTAACATCTTTCAAACTTTTTCAAAGCCTTGAAGTATTAAATCAAGATCATTGTCCTCAGTTGGCTGATCAAGATTTGTGATCGTCACCTTTAGGGAGAAAGGCTGGTTGAAATCAACTCGGACACAGCCGTAGTTCTTCCTCAGCATCCTGAACACTCCACACGCTATTCCCCACCAACTCTCATTCTTCTTGGGTTTGCCCTAARGGCCAGAAAGAGACAGAGCTCAAGTTTAGACTCTTATTTGGCATTTTAGTCAATATTATAAAAAGTGTTTACTTATTATACAGTTATACTGACAATAGAAAACTTAATTGTTTTACCAGATTTTTAAAAAAAGTATTTTTTGTGTATGTGTTTTAAGAAAAAAAAAGTTGCTAAAGCAAAAATACAAAMCAGATGTTTTCTTAGTGCTTACCAGCTGCTCGCTATTGTAGTTTCCCTCAATGATGCGGTCGTACGAGATGCCAACTGGTACCACCAGCACGTCCCCGATGGCCCCCGAGTACAGCGTGTCCACCACGATGGACAGCATGCCTGCACGTGCCGGGAATGGCTTCCCGCTGCGGGAGCGGGTGCCCTCCAGAAAGACCTCCAAAAACTGCTGCTGACGCATCAACTCCTCTGTGTACTGGAGGAGGTTCAAAGCAGACAAACGGTTCACGTCAGACAAAGGTGAAGCAGAAATGGTTTGAAACGCTTTGGGGTGAAATTATTTGACTTTTAAAATAAAAAAAGAAAAACACCAAATGGACTCTAGGTTAAAGTTTGAACTGATGTGAGAGTAAAGGTTAAAAATAAGAGCTGATATCCAACACTTTGACCCCGCTGCACTTTGCAAGGGCTCAGGCACGTGCAGGTAGCCATGCTGGGTAATGATACCCCCGGGTACAAAATGTACACAGCTGTCTCTTGGTATGCAGACACTTTAGGAAGTGAATGTCTTTCCTGAAATATACTACAGATCATGGGACTCAATTCAAACCWCAGAAAGAATGAACTTCCAGTTCTAAAGGATCCTTTTTATTGTATCGATTTGTTTCTGCTTTTGGAGTTTCTCTCACTAAATTKCCAGAAACAACACAGCTTATCTTATCTTCTGACTGATAAAACTACTTCTTTGCCTTTGCTCAAACGCTCTGTTTGTCCACTGTACAGTAAAACAAAGCTGCGTGATGGATAAACTGTGGCTCATTTCAAGCAGCGGCTCATGTGTCTGGCTGATAACGCTTATCTCGGGCACAGAAATAAAAAGTCGGCTCTGTGGCACTGCACGGTCTTGTGTTGCCTTCATTATTTAAGGATATATCAGTAATTTGAAACCCCACGTGGACTAAAAAAAAATAAGAGTTTGTTTGAATTTTAATTGGCGACATAAAAACWTTGTTTAAAGTCTCTAAACTTTAAAACATCTGTGAAACAGCAGACAGATTAAATTAGCATCTTTCTACAGTTTTACCCCTAGATCCTCCAGCAGTCACATGTAAACTGATCAGGTCATCCCTGAAAGCCTATCCTTAAATTAGAGCAGATGGCGACAAAGGCACTGAAAGTCAGAGGGTGCGCGACTCTGCCCATGACGCTCCAACTGAGAGGACCCAGGGATGAAGTCAAAGGAAATATATTTATATTTTTATAAAATATATTTATATTTAAGAAACTGGGCATAAAACACATCATTTTACCTGTTATGTCACATATTTAGCATATTTTCTTTTGAATTTGGCTCAGCTAAAGTGAAACAGGAAGTGACTTTCTCTTTGAGAAAGAAAACTCCCTGGGTTTTGTTTATTGAAACGATGTTATTTGAACTACATGACCTTTTCTCATCTCTCTATGATAGTGATTAAAATAATCTAAAGAAACATCAGATTCATCTCTACAGTCTGTGTTGTTAGCCGTTTTAGCAACGCTCTGTTTACATTCAGACATTCCCCTTTGACATCACTTCCTGTTTCTTCACATGTAAATATCTCAACAACTGTTCATCTTGGCTGCATGAAATCTTTTTTACAATATGTTATCAAGGTTATTTTTCCAAAAATACATTCATATTTATTATAAAAATTTGATGTCACAGGCAATTTAAGATGGCAGCCCTCTATGAGTGATGGGGAAAATGCAGAGAGCAAATTTCCCCATTGGAGATGAATAAAGTAAACATTATTATTATTAAGTGAAGATGATATAACAAAGACTTTTAAGTCTCTCGTCCCTCCAGACTGACAACAAGCAGAGAGAGAGAGGGAAGAAAAATCCAAACAGGACCAGCTTTTAGTGTCAAAAGATAAAACTGTCTCTTACTGCCTGCAGAAGAGATCGGTACAAAATATCTTTCTTGCCATCCCCCGTCTCCTCCATTCTCCTCCGTATGAAGAATCCCCCGAGTTTACGGATCACAGTGCTGAAAAGAAAAAAGAAAATAAGAAAGTCTTCTTGTACCAAACTGATCTTTTGACACTGGGAGAGCAGAGATCCACTTGTACGCTGGTTTAAATTTTACTTTGTGAGGTTTTACCTGAGGATGGGGATGCTGAGGTTGTTTCCAGCAGCGATGTGGGGGGCTTTGATGTTATGGCAGAACAGGATCAGCGTGATGAGCAGGTAGTCAATGTGGGATTTGTGCACAGGGAGGAAGACCATGGGTACATTCTGCTGCAAAGAAAACAACAATTGAACTTAAACACACACTTGGAAATTATAGGTTGGGTTTGTTTTTTTTTTAGAGCAGCAAATCAAAACGTGGCAGTTTAGTCTGTTGTTTTAAGAATGTCGTTACAGACCTCTGAGGCAGCTTTTTTGACCATTTCCAGCTGTCCTTTATGGATCTGGATGCTCCAGAAGAAGCCATTAAACAGTCTCAGAAGGACCCACCCTGTTAGCCTGGACACACAATGAAGGTGGAGAGCACCATGTTTGCTTTCTACAGTAAAGGCTGGAGTTGATGTGCTTTAATTAAGTGAAAAATGTTGATACCTGATAAAAGCTGGTGAAATGTTGGCCACCATCTCTTGAAGGAACGCTCTGGCTTTCTGCTTCACTTTGCTGACAGACTTGTGTTCCTGAACGGGCCGGCTCGCAGCTGCATCCAAATCTGTTGCTACGGTCAAGATGGCCGTCTCCATCCTGCCGTCGACAAAAGCAGAGCACAAACACAAGCTCTCATCCTCAACACTCATAAACACAACCACTGAAAACAGCAGGGTGGTGTACAGTAACCAACAGGACCATAACGGGCACTTAAATGTGTTTCTTAAATGTTACACTGAGTCCAACCTGCTGCTGTTGAGCACATTGTCGACCACGTTCCTGGTGAACATGTCCTTGTGGATGTCTCTCTCCATAACAAACAGCACATAACTCAGTCTCCGTGCCAACCAGCCCCGCTGTCTGCCAGATCATAAACACACACACACACACACACACACACACACACACACACACACACACACACACACA